GAATGAGAGAAATGAGGAGACTGCGTTAAACAAAAGACGTTGTTGAAGTGCGCACAACAGTGTATGCAAGGGGCTAAACGCACCTCCTGGAAATTTCAGACAGCATAACGACCAAGGCTCTATCTGCAATGTTAGAGGGTCGTTCAACACCGTCATCTGTGAACCCATGGACAATGTCGTGTGCAGGGTCGTAAGTTATATTCTTTTTTTAAAACAATCTTATCGAAAATCAACATGCACACACGTTCAAGTGCAGCCAGACTGCTCGGCAGAAACAACAGCGCGAGAAGCTCGAACCGATCGGCTCCACGAATTCACGCCGAGCATGCGAGCACGCGGGCGGTCATGCGTCACCTTGATTGATGCAAAGTCGACCGAACATGATACAGCAGAAAGCAAGGATGGAGGACACGCACGGCACAGACGAACGACGCAGGGACGAGCAGAGGCGACGGCGTGCAGGCAGGCGAGGCAGGCAGGCCATGGCAGGCGCCATTCATCACGTGGTTTTTGTGACGTATTTGATAAACACTATTTAGTCGTTTTAAGTACTTTAAATAACTGTAAAGCATAACAATTAAAAAAATAAATACTTTTCGGAGACAGAGCTCTAATTAATATTAACCAAATTACAGAAAAGCGCCACGTAGCGGAGGGTATGAAACGCACTATCTGGGCCGCGAATCGGCTTCAGTGTCCTCTCTTTACGTTTACCATATTACTCTATGGAAGGACTGCGAACAGCTTTATTCCGCAGAGGCCGGCAGCGATCTGGCTGCGCGTATGACGATGCTCTTCTTATAGAGCGCCCGGTGACGTCAGTACTACGCGTACTGCTGATAGCAACGGCAGCGGCCTCTAGCAGATATCTTGTTAGTTCCTTCAGTTAAACCGCTAACTAAGGCGATTAAAAACTAAGTGTGAAAAAGATACAAATCACACTTTAAAAGATAAATTTGTAGATCTTTCCAGTAAGCTAAAAGAAAAAAAAATAAGGGCAGATAAACATATGTTTTACATTGTCCTTCTTGCCAACTTTATGGTTTCGTCACCTAGAAAGTTTTTGAGATACATCTTCTGAACCACAACAAACGCCAGCACGTTTATGGCCGACGGTGCTCTTGAAACAGAACCCTCCCCCCCCCCCCCCCCCCCCCAAAAAAAAAAAAAAAATCCCAATCTTTTCAGCTTAAACTTTAAGTCAGTGTTTACACGTGATGTTAGAAGTATACCCCCTTATACCAAGTTGAAGGTAAACGTACGGCAGCCCTCTGCCTGGCTAGAAATAGACATGAAGCGAAGAATAGGGACTCTAGTCAAAAATACCAACTTCACCATCTACCACCTTTTAAAAATGTGCATTTGAATGAAAACGGAATTAGTAACTAGCTCTTGAATCTATATCCACGGAAGTCTAGTGGTCCAGCTGGATTGCCAAACGCGTTTTTGAAACGATATGCAGAGCTTATCGCCAAGTACTTAATCATTATATTCAAAAGATTATTATAAGAACGCGAATTGCAGACCGATTGAAAGATGGCCAGAATTAAACACCTACATAAAACTGGAGATAAACAAGTACTGGCTAACTACAAACCTATATCGTTAACTTGTTCCGTCTGCAAACTCCTTGAACACATTATAAATAAACATATTTCCGAAATTGTTCAACATATGACGTACTATCTAGTTGTCAACATGGCTTTAGAAAAGGATTTTCCACAACAACTCAGTTGCTAACAAAAATGCTAACAAAAAGAAGCAACTTTCATTCTTCTGCCATCTTATTGAGCATATCCTATCAAAGGTGAATGAATTTAACTACCTGGGTCTCTATCGGGCAGGTTCGTACAGGTACTACTACGCTCAGGGAGGGTAAGAAATAGAGAGGAAGGTACAAAGGGAGACAGTACACACACTGGTCTGGTGAGTTGGAAGAAGTCATCATCATTTGACAGAAACCGAGTTGTGCTCCTCAAAGAAACAAAAAAGCAATCTGGTGGCCCAAGTATGTTTTTCCTATGGTGCATACCAGGCGTCGAGTACCTTGTTGAGAAAACACTATTCTGACATTTGGTCATTCTAAATCTATTACCCGTAGCCTTCTTTCTTTGTCGCATATTTCACAATCACAAAATATGTACAAATGCTTTAGGAGAAAGACGAATACTGGGCTTTTTGATGAGTTTCCTTTCCGATTCAGTGAATAAATATCTGTATATTGGCGACATCAAGTCGTAATCGATGCGCTTTTTTTCCGCCAGTGGCGACAGTTCACGTAGGGGTGAAAAGTAAGATTTCTTTCCCTCACCTAAGGGCCTATGGTGATGGGCAAAATATTAGCAAAAACGTCCGTCTCTAAATTTCAAGCGTGTCGATTTAAAGACAGTGCATACCGTTCTTAGAAACTGCATTCTTTTAAAAATAAGATATTTTATGTTGAGAGTGATATATATATATATATATATATATATATATATCACTCTCTCTATATATATATTCGAGGCTCTCGAAAAAGGTCTGGCTCAGGCCGAAACGTCGGCCAACTTTACCAATAATATGTAATATGTTTTAAAAACTCCAACAACCGTCTCAGGCGCGTTTTCTTCCATATATATACATATATATATATATATAGTGCGCATGGTGGCATTGGAGCCAAGGGGCCGAAGGCGTATATATAACGAAGTCAAATGTAAGTCATCTCCTGACGAATCCGAGTCTCTCGGTGGAACTGTTGATTAAACTTCCGCTTTTTGTTGCTTTTCACCGCGAGTTTTTCACTTCGTTATATATATATATATATTTATGGAGTGGTGTTTTTTTTAAACTTAACCAATTCGTTTCAAAAAAGTTGTGAAATCTACACATGTCGTTTGTCCAGGTGAATTGTACGGCAGGGGGACAAAGTATATGGGGCTAATCATAACGATCACTCGGCTAATTTGCTAAACTTCGTTAGCTAACTTTTAATTAGTGAAAATATACATATGGTCCCAATTAGAAAATTGCTGACCGTTATCGAGAACACACTACATCAGTCAATTTCAGAAAGAGTCTGAGCGCGTGAGAAGCCCAGTAACGCAATAAAGTTACCACCCGTGGAGCAGTACAAGGCTAGCGGTTGTGTCAAGGCACGCGCGAGATTTTTTCGTCTCTTATTTAGCCCCAGCCTTGTGTATATTCGAAGCCCCGCACCCGCGCCCTGGCTACCATCCAGCAGAGTTCCATGCGTACCTCGCTGCATGCCTGGGCATGCCCGGACCCCTCCTTCCTCGAGTGACCGCTATCGAGCTCTGGCGAACGCTGCTCGCGTACATCCAGGACCCTGCAGCTCTCCTGTCGGCACGTGGCTTCAAGGCACTCAGCTCTCCACCACTGAGCCCAGACAAAAGACAAAGCCTAAACCTACCGCACATCTATCCTCTGACGCCGTCACACCAACCGGGCCAACAAATAAGAATGAAGGCCCCCTGTCCCCCGCTCTTGTACCCTAAACCCTTTCACCGCAGCATTTCCTAATGAAAAAAAGTGAAATAAACGTTCCTACCTGCCTATGTCCCCCTGGCCGTATAACTCACCTGAACAAACCGAAGAAGTGTAGCTTTCACGGCTTCTTTTTTAGAGCGCACCCCTTAGGGGCGCTCAAAAAAGCGCCCCCTTCCCCAAGGTCACGCGACCCCCCCCCCCCCAGGTCACGTGACCCCCCTGGCGTCACACGACATTCTCCCCCCCCCCCCCCCCCCCCCCCGAGGTCACGTGACCTCAAGGAGTGACATGTCCCTCAGTACGCTTCCATTCTCTCTCACTTTCTATATATATATATAGAGAGAGAGAGAACTTTCTACAACCGGTTGTTCAAGATTAAGTCACACTATGGCAGTGAAACAATACAAACTAAAACGAGATAATATGACATGTTTAGTTTTCTTTTTCTTCGGCACTCATCGAAGGGAACTTTCAGTCACATAAAATTGTGACCTTTACAGAGCTTGACGGTTTTAGAGACGTCTGATTACTTCAGTCGCAAGAAGACTATCATATGGAATGCCAAGAAGGCTCAGGCTTCTATGTACCCACACCCTTAATTATGGCCCACTTCTGTATGCCGCTGTATATTAAAAAAAATAAGGGTCTGTTATGTATGACCCCAATTTACGGGTAGATCTTGCACCAGCACCGACCACCTTCTATCAGATACCTGGTAGTACCTGGGTATCCGTTGACATTGAATGAAGTTTCCTGCCTCTATATGCTTGCTAAGAAATGGTATATTCCTAAATACTGTGTCATTGATTTCACTACGCTTCACTAACGCGAAAGTGACTTGTAATGCGAGATCAAATGAAAAAAGGAATCGTCATAATTAAGAAGGTTTAGTTTTGTTAGGGGTTAATTATATAACGGCTTAAGCCCGCTTCAGGCGGGGCAGCGTTTCCAGGAAATTTGAGGTTGCTGGCAGGTTGTTTCCTAGCCTTCCCTAGATCGACACGAATCGCTAAGAACGGGTCCCGCTCGAAACGGACGAGCAACTCGAACAACTCGGAGACGTTTGAAGCGGCAGCAGCCAATCAGGGACGCGATATTTTCACGTAACACTTCTGTGGTGGTGATGATGACCGCTGAAGACGTGGTTCTGGTTTGAAATGGATCGTTTCTTGGAAACAAACCTCAACGCAGTTCGAAGATATTAAAACACGTTTTTAACGCGTAGCTGTGCGTCTAAATAGTACAAAAAAGGCAAATTCAATGATGATAATGGCGAGGTTTAGAATTCGGTTGGTGCGTGTGAACGCGTGCGGTCCGTGTTGTTGGCGTTGCGATGTCATGTTGCTGGGTGAAATTGCCCGTCTGAAGCGGGCCTTATAAAATTTTGGGTTCACGCTTTACTTCATTCTACAACGCGTGTCGCACTCTAGTAAAATAATTGCGATAAAGTTCTTCACGCAGAAACAGGGATATTTTTTAGCTACAAGCCACTGAACAGAAGCTTGACTTACCCATCATTAACTGCGCTGAAGTCGGTGACGTACTCGTTGTGTCTGTAGTTGTCGTGACGGTGGCGGTAGTCGTCGTGGGCTCTTCGGGTTGAGGGCAGCACACGATGGGCCGTAAACCGCGAAGTCCGCAGTATATGGGAGACCTGAGCCTGCCCACGTCCTTCAGGGACTGGATGCATTCCTGGACTGGCATGCAGCGGCCGTCCACCATCTCGGCCCGGCTCAGGTGCCTAGCACGACACGAGTCACGCTTTACTGCAGGTCGCCAAGAAAAAAAGAAATGAATAAAACAAAACGAAAAATGAACGCCATAAAGCAACACTAGAAAAGTGTGACTGTTGCGGAGTTTCGTTGCCGCGGTGTGCTTGCGGTACGCACCCACCAATTGTACAAACGCCGAATAGCGTTGAACGCAACGCGTTAAATGTAGCCACGTCCCTTGTAAAGCCTTAGGTCACAGTCATACTTCTCGTACATCGTACGAGAGCCATGATGTTCGCTGCATGCACGATGACCAAAGTATTTCCGAACAGACATTGAGCATTTTCGAAGCGTGTTTGATTTCTACGTACGCGTACTTCGAACTCGTCTGCGAGACAGTTTTTACAAGGCCAATATGGCGGGACGGTCACATAAGCAAGAAACGCGCCTCTGACATCTAGAAAACTGCCTTTGCACATCCGATATGGTACGATGGGCCCTCCTGTGCGAACTGCGCATGCGCCACAGAGGAAGTTTCGCGCATGCGCAGTGCGTATTGGAGGGCCCATGGCGCCGTATCGGAAGTGCAAAAACGGTTCCCCAGAGCTCTCTAGTGTCTCCAGACAGGCTTTTGCATGGCGTATTCGCGCTGCGTGAGAGCGGCCTCGGATGTTTGAGTAACGCCCTATAACGTACAGGTTAGGATCGGAAATGACTCACTTGTAAAGTAATTTCGTCGCCTTTTTTACGATATAGTCTGTCATATAAAGGTACCCGTTAATTTTGTTTGAAATTAGTCACATTGTAGGTTTCATCGAGGGGGCAACGCGCCATCGTCGTATTCTACACATTCTACAAAGGAGGATAAAAATATTAAGAGAGCGGCGCTGTGTCATAAATTACTTTCCGCTGAAGTTCGGAACCGCGGCCACTAAATACTAAAGTGTAATCTAACGCAAATCAAAGTTGAACATTTTTTTTAAAGTAACGGTAACGGTATTTCGTTAATTTTGCCGGAAGGAATCGAATGTCAGTAGCTGGTTAATTTTTTGATGTTCTAACAAACAACGCTACTTTGTTATTAATTATAATCACCACAACACTGATCTGAAAAACAATGTATACAAAGCCTGGCAAAACCAACGCAAAGATGGCTTTCACTGGTCCTCGAAGATCCTAAGAGAATTTGCTTACATTCTTTTCGCAAATCTGAGAATATTGAGTAATGCGTCACGTTCCTTAGTAATTAACGTATAACGGAATTTCCATAAAAATTCTCGGTATCAAGCACACACCTCTACGTCCGTCGACAGCCGCCGAGTGGCACATGGAGACCGAAAGCAGGAGAATCCAAACGGGCATTCGGACGCACGCCATGTTGTTTGATTGTTTGTCCGAACGGCGCGCGCTTTCTAGCAGCGCTCATACAGGGAAGTTGTTTGACGGACAACGCTACTAGCCGTGGATGATTAGCAATATCCTCTCTCGATCGCGTCGTCGATGTACAGCGGTCTTGACCTTGAGGCTGCCTCCCTCCGCTAGAAAACAAGCGAGAGGCACCTGCAGCACTCTCCCAGTTTGGTGTGCTAGTGTTGAGTCAACAAGCATGGCTTCGATCGCGAGGTATTTTCATCGGTACAACCTTTGTAGAATAGTTCACAAATCGCCATCTGCGTGTCGCCAGCTTTTTGCCCATTGGGCTAGGAAAGACGTTTTGAGGATGACAAGTAGCTTTCTTGTGCAGAATATCAGACACGTTCATAGCCCGCTGATTCGGTATTTTCCAGCTAGTTGATAAGCAAAGGAAATGTGTACGAACAGGGGTCTCAAACGCATCCCGGACTCAGGTTTAAGACCTAGACTGAGACCATGAGGGTCGGTGTAAAGCGTTTGATACATTAATTATTTCTTCAACGCACGCAAATGTTTCTCTTTGAAAACTCGCTTTTTTGTCAATGATACATAGTGAGGTTCAGAATGCTGACATGACGAGGGGGCATATACACTTGGTCAAAAGATTCGCAATGGCGCCACCACTTGAACGTCACTTTACGCCGGTGTGAGAAAGCACACTTTCCATTATCCTATCAGTTAACTTATTGGGGAAATATTTGGGCTTAACACGTCCCGACAAGGAACCTGCATGCGAGAGTTTTTTACTTCCTGACATTTACTTGCAAAGGCACCGTACGCTAAAAGTTGTATCGCATTGTTATTTAATGAGTCCCTAGCGTGTAAAGCAACGAATGTTAAACTCCCTGAAAGCAAAGATGAACACCTGCCAATATGATATGCAACAACAAACAAACAAATTATTGTGTTTATGTTTATACAGCCGAAAGTTAGTCTGCCTGAGTGGGTGTCTGGTGTCTCAGCTCTAAATGAGCAATTTAGCCAGTGCGGTAAAATTGCTAGCCTGGGGTCCTTAACGTCCACCACGCAGTTGTGATACACGACTACACGCCGGTACGATGCTCATCCAGATCGAGGCGGGCAGGGGTGGGGATTGAGCCCAGGATCCCTGAGCTCTGCAGCGCAAGCTTTCGCTCCACGTGATCCGAGCTGGTGTGCGCTAGCCCGCTCGGCCACCGATCCCCCCCTCAATATAAGATAAAAAGAAAACTAATAGCGGTAAGGAAGAAGCAAAAACTATATTAATGAAACAACGTTTTGAACAATATTGATAATATATCTATGTTTCAAACAATTGCCTCGTCGCACTACCCCTGAAAAAAATAACTATAGTCACGTCCCTTCTGTAAGTACACCGTGTATATGAGTATATGGAAATCATTTCTGAGCACGAACTTGCTCAATACGTGTATATGAAAAACTAACATTGCAGACAGTTTTAGGGGGAACGGAGGTTTCCCAATTAAAGAGGTCATTCAATTTACATCTAGAGAGTAACACGCCGCAAACCTTTCCTGGCAGTCGTGACTTGGAAACGGCGGCTCACAGCCGCGGGAGGCGCAATGAGAGCGTTGTAACGAGTCGTGGCTAGAGTTACGTGACTAAGACACCTGCAGGTGTATGATGTGTCAACAGCAGGCCAATTTTATTTGCATCTCAAAATTGCTGATTTTAATCGCGTGTTTCTGAGGAACTTTCACGGCGTCTTCTTTTAACCGCAAGGCGCGGTGAGTATCTCATTGGTTCTGGCCAGCTCGGCAGCGAACTTGCTGCCAAAGCGTTCTGTTCTAGCTGCTATAGGTGCCGTCGAATTTACTCGAGTCGACTATAAATATCTTGAACTCTCTCGGTCATCAACGTTTTGCTAAAAGTACTGAAATAAAAAAAAAATGATTAAACAACAACAAACATCGCAATGTTCCCCGGGCTAGTTTAGATGAAAGTCATAAAATGTTAATTAGCAGTAATTAAACTTCTGACATTGTATTACTTTTATTTCACGGCTCTACACTTTCTTTGCATTGAACCCCATAGGTCACACTCGCAAAATTATCAACTTGTGCTTTTCTTGGCAAAAGATCGTATTGTTCCTGGGGACTGTAACTGCCTGTGTATCATAGAACGCGAATCAACTAGAATTTTCGAAATGTCAATACTTCGTTTCACCTTCAGACCGAGCGCAGCGTACGCTACGAAAAGACAGAACCAATCGAATAGCGGTAAAGGTGCAACGTCACGAAGTGCATCACCGGGAGACCCAATCAGGTGCAAAAAGTGCGCTTCAGTCGCTGCTTGGTTGGCCTTAAGGCCGGTTCCCACATGCAGCGAAGCGCTAATGTAGCGCTTCTCACGTGCCGTCTGCTACTTATTGTCTGCCATGAACAACAGTATTGACGGTGCGACACAAAGCTGGTGAACGCTCCCGTCAGCACGCGCTTAGCGCGAGGTCAGCGCTACGCTTGCAGCGCTCCGCTACATGTGTGAACAGGCCTTTATCGTCTCGTTGCGTTCGCTGCGCTCGGACCTAAAGTGAAACAGAGTATAGAAAACTTTCTTTATTCTATGGAATGTCGCAGAACGTTGGCCATGTGGTGCCGTTTATACAGCAAAGCATGTTCTTTTTTTCTTTTTTATTGGGGGGGGGGGGGGTGTATTATATACCACGAGCATGAGCTTTGCAAATTGTTTTATCTTATCGAATGTTTTTGTTTCTCTGGCCAAGATTCTTTCAAAAGCAACGAGATCGCGTTTAAAACTTTCAATGCTGAACATGTTGGAATGAGTTGAAGTTTTTTTCAGATAAGTTTGGACGAATATGTCCGGTGATCATTTTGAATTCTTACGAAAAAAAGCATTGTTTGTATGCACAATGACCATCAGAACAAAACCAAAAATTCATTTTCGCAAGAAAAAAACAAAAAAACTATGTTTGTCTTTGCGAAAAAAAAAAAAAAACACACTTTGAGTGCGAAGCGCTATCAGCGAATTGCTCGAAGTTGGCATTTCCGGCATCTCTCACTCTCTCTATCTCTGCCTCCCCCCCCCCCCCCCCCCCCGAAAGAAAAACATTGCTAAAAAACATTGTCATTGCTAATTTCTACGGGTGTAGACATATTAACTGACAAACTACGCATAAGGAAAATTGACTGAAAATATTTGCCATTAAGCATCGACTTTGCTCATTTTCAAAGAAAAATCGCAAACAGGGCGCATTCAGCAAAAATACTTATATTCGATATTTGTTTTCTCCCCACTTATAAATTCCAGAACTCCTAAACCTTTCCAGCTTGTTGCCCTGCATATTGGTAATATTGGCGCTAAATATTGTTGTCCTGGGTAGTAGAACAACTTTATGAGAAATGGTCGAATGGAGCCAACTTGATCATTACGAGTTATTTTGAAACTTTATTTAAGAGAAAGCCCTCATCGATTTTTTAACTCTCCCACATTAATTACAATAATAGGTACTAACAGGATTTAAAAAAAAAAACAGAAAAACGTTGCATTATTTTTTTTTTTTGTACTTGAAATTGCAAGGCTAGAAATATGACCAAATTGAGGCTACCGTAGCACCGTGAATGGGGTGTGTAGATAGATACACATAGCTAACAAATTCATTATTTCTACAAAGTGTAAAAATGCTCGAGAGTGGTGAAAAATAAACAAATTGACAGCACAGAGGCGGACTGCGGTTTTAAAGTAAAAATTCCTACTGTGTTTTTTTATAAGAATTGCAGAAAATTCGAGCGCTCCGGAGTGATCGAGAGGTACTCTCATGTCGCACGCCACGTATAGAAAAGCTGCTGCGCGTAATACGTGTCTATTTCAGCCTTTCGACTGTCGGTAACATGAAATGAAGCGGCGGAACCGGCGCGCCTCCTCACGGCATTGGAGCCGCCGCCGCTGTGTGACTCTAGCTAACACGACCGCACCTCCCGGCAGGCGTCCGTGAGGCGAGCGGCGGACTGAAAAGCAGAAAGCAATGCACGATCGTTTGCGGTTTGCTTGGTGTGATGACGATTGACTACTTTGTTCTCGGCATTTTTGTGTATTTTTATGTTCTGGAGCGCATGGAAGAGCGCCTTCCTGCACGAGCTCCTGACATTGACGGCATTTTATATTTGGCGATTCCTTTGTATATTTACTGTGAGCGCGTGCTGTAGGCACCGGGTGTTACAAAGAGTGGCATCAGCCTAAACTGAAAGACGTCCAAGAACATTAGCGCGCTCTACCCATACCTCGGCAAACCTCACTCATGAGGGCCCTCACTCACCCTCACTCACCCTCACTCACCCTCATCTTCACAGGTGAGGTGAGGGTGAGTGAGTTTCTGAACCAGGAAAATTCATGAGTGTGAGGGTGAGTGAGGGCCGTGAGGGCTGTGAGGGCTGTGAGGGCGGTGAGGGCGGTGAGGGCAGTGAGGGCGGTGAGGGCGGTGAGGGCCGTGAGGGCCGTTAGGGCTGTGAGGGCTGTGAGGGCTGTGAGGGCCGTGAGGGCCGTGAGGGCCGTGAGGGCCGTGAGGGCCGTGAGGGCCGTGAGGGCCGTGAGGGTGGTGAGGGCCGTGAGGGCCGAGAGGGCCGTGAGGGTGGTGAGGGCCGTGAGGGCCGTGAGGGCCATGCAACTCGGAGCAATTCGAATGCGTTTGAAGCGGCTGCATCCAATCAGGGACGCAAAATTTTCACGCGATACCTCGTGCCGGTGATGATGACACCGAAAGACTTGGTTCTGGTTTGAAATCGATCGTTTTTTTGGAAATAAACTGTTTCAGAAAGGTGCATTAGTATTCTTAACGAGATTTAAATGCATAAAAACACGTTTATAACGCGTAATTGTGTCTAAATAGTGCAAGAAAAATAAAATTTTATGATGACGATGGCAAATTGCAGCAATTCGTTGCTGCGTGTGATCGCGGGCGGCCCGTGTTGCTGGTGTTGCGACGTAAAGTTTCTGGGCGAAATTGCCCC